GATGCCATTTTTTTTGAATATTTTGACCTACAATTTATGAATGTGTCAACTAAATGAAGCACACTTTCGGCTTTGGATACTTTCTTCTTTATCTGTTCAGTTTGCAGAGGCCCGTGAAAATTTCCACGAAAAGGTTGTGCATTTCTTTTCTTCTATTAAGCAGATCGTGGACTCGCTATAAACATTTAAGGCTTCTTTCGGATATCTCTGTCTTCATGACTTTCTGATTTGATTTTCTCTATATACGCATCTGGTATCTGTTATTTAATTACTTGACACTACACAGAGTGCAGGATTCAAAGCAGGATGAATTATCTATGAGCATGGCAGGATACACAAAATTGATCGAAATAAACTAACATGCTGATTATAAATCCGCTCATTGTTATCTTGTTGATGTATGTTTCTTTGTCATATGAAATCCCAATTTGGAGCCGTTGAGACAACAAGCAAAGAGGTTCTATTACAAAAACCTAATTTAAATGCAAATTTCTGCTTCGTCTGTTACTTAATTGTTTAAGACCAAGGCAAAGCTATCAGCACCTGTGTAGGCATTTATACATTATGTATTTATCGACATAAAGAAGGATATAATAATTGATGTGGTGACAGAAGTATCATTGCTTGGGTGATAATCGACGCCTAATGATACCATACCTTACTGTTAACTCCTTTCAGTTACCAGAAATATATGTGGTTGATGGGGTCTTATACAAAGTATTAGACACACCATTCACATACAAATAAAAGATTTGCTACTCCCGCTCTTCAAAATGTTTTGGGGGTAGGTACGCTTTCACAGAAAGTAAAAACTCTTTTGATGTACAGTCTTATTTTTATTTTTAATGTTATTTACCCATGTTCAAGGAGCATTCCTTAATGTAGGACTCATTTATTCGTTTATTTCTTGCTTTTTTTGATACTGTAATGAATTGTGTGAATAAATCATACTACTACTTATTATACATATAACCACACCCACTCTACATGCTTTTGACGAAAACGTTTCTATAATTTTATTATTATGGAACATAATAATGTTTTGCTAGTTATCCAAGCGGCACAGTTCTAAAATCAGTGCTAGAGTAGTATTCAGACTACTTTAATAAATTGTGAGGATTTAGTGCAATACAATGTGTACTTGTGAAGAATCTCATCAAATAGACTTAATGGATGTTAAGTAACTTCTCTGATTGCCAGAGAAACTATTTGACATCCATACTTGAGAACCCTGGTTTTGGAACTACTTGCGTGTTTGTGTTGATCACGTGCTTAGCAGGGAAAAATACCTAATATTTATCAAACTTCATACTATTAACTAAAATTAGTAAATACTATTTGTTTTCTGTTTGCTGCTATAAACCTCAACAAAATCAGCATTTCCTAAAAGGTGATTAACCTTATGAAAACTGAATTTCTAATATACTCTCCAAAGCTGGTTCAAGGCACACTCCTTAATCTTGAACTGACGGAATTAAAAAAAATGAACTTGTACAGTAAATGTTAAGGTCGTGCAGTGTTACGTTACTTTTATCTGTGAAGGTTATATTTTGCTAATTCTTGGTAGGAAACTTGAATTTGAAAAATGACGTCACTGTGAACTTCCACTCCGTTTGTACAAAATAATGGTTGGATCCCAATAGGTTTGACGAAGTTAAAAAATTATGATTTACTGACAGCTCCTAAAACACACTAACCAAAATTGCTCAGATATTTTAGAATTATTATTTTTAAGGTGATACCGCCTTACCTGCATTTTATATCCAATCTACTTGATATCAGTTTTAATAATCAGTTGGATTTTAGCAAACCCATCAACACCCCTGGTTAAATCATCCCCATATTTAAAATTCTAGCCTTTCGGTACACTGCTACGAAAGCAGCGCAAAGTTGCTCATAATTGCTCCTATGCTTGGTATACATCGCGAACACTGGGGCATATTCACGGATTACTTAATTATTTCGTTGCTGCTGGAGGGATTTGATAAAACCAGAAATTTTTCATAGTAACCCTCCGTCAAAGTGTCATCAACGCCCGTACAATTCCGTCTTTCTGTGTCCATGTGTCGGGTCAGGGCATTTTCCAAAACATCGAATAACATAGCTCCTAAAATATTTTATAGAATTCGCTTATTCCAGAGCAAGTGTCATGGTATTACAATCTATTTTACAGAATGTTGGATAACAATTATAAATTATCTATGTAATCAGGTCATGAAGCTGTGTAGGCATAATATTACCGTATAATGTTCCAGCAAAGCTAAACACATGATGTGCGAAACAAGTATACACCTTTTCAATGGGTTTAACCAACAGAAACACTAGAAAGCTATTTACGCTGGAAATAACTGTTTCCTTTTTATATTGAATAGGTATCGGCAAATGTGAATGACTGTTCAGTGAACGCACACAGTAGGTACGGAATGAGTAATTTCCACGTCGATAGTTTATATTGTTTACATCAGGGACATAATCTCTGATGAATTGAAAACTTGACATACATTACTGTATTAACAATATGGGAATTCCGACCACATGTATGCCTACTATCTGAGTTTTACATGAATGACTTATCGATAGCGCCTCTGTCAACGCTACGGCTACCAGAGGCCTAACGAAAGTGTCTTGCTATTTTATAACTTCTGTTTCCAATATACCAGAACTTCGTATAATCTGTTTATATACCACAAAGCATGCCAGTTACCTAATATGTAAACCGCTGACTCCTCATTTCCTACAAAATGGATCATTGACAACACTAGAACCTTCTTAGTGTAGAAGAGTCGCCATATTTTGGGCACTTAAAGGTCCCCAACATCACATATGATTCCTATCTAAAACCAAACCTCGTCTGCGTAAACAGCAGATCATCGTGGACCGCTATGTTACACGACCGGTGGTTTGCTGGACGTCGGTTGAGATTATATGAGTTCCATGCCTACTGGACATATTCGGAAGTGTTTTTATAATGATTTTGAGTCTTCTATGATTCGAGAACCTGTTGGATCTGCTCTTGCAAGAGCATCTGCCGACCTTACTAAATGTGCTTGCGTGCCCAGGAAGAACCTAAAATCATGATTCTTCACGAGTAACCCAATAACGCTAGAATTTAGCGTGGCTTTGCACAACTATCAAGCACAAGGATTGTTGCAGTGTCCTCGAGTTGTTCTATAGGAAAGTATGGGAAGTGTTTCTCCACAATTTCATCGTCATATTCTTTAAATTCCTAGGTGTCCACAGAACTTCCCCAATTACTCTGAGATAAGGCTTTCTACTGCTTTATGCTATACTAAATGAGGCTAAAAGTGACAGCTTCTTTCATAGTCCGCTGTTTTTTCTTGGTATTTATTGTGCTGGGTAGTATTGTCCAAATTCCGTATTGCTATATCCCCGTGATTGTATCAGATACTCTTTCGACGTTCGCCGAAATCAACAAAGTATTTTTGTTATGAGAGTTGCGTTCGTTTTGCAGTCCAAACAGACATCGGGCTGTTAAATCAATGAATGGCTGGCTCACTTCAAGGAGTTTAAAAATAACAGTTGAGTTAACCTCGATCAGAACACAACCTTACGAATGACTTTTTAATTCATCAAGAATAAACATTTTTACAGTTTGCTGCCATAGTTCGTAGCGAGAATATGATTGAAAGCAAAATTAAAAATATCACAATATGAATTCGGTAAGCAAAGTAAACTTGAAACCTAAAAGCTGCGGATGAGAAAACATTTCACACAATTGACAATGGTTTGTTGGTAATGCTATTGGGGTAAGGGGAAAAACGAAATTTCACCTCATTTAAAGTGAGTGATGTTAAAGAAACGTGCAATAAGGTGAGCAAACTGAACGTTTTCGATATTGTTAGTTGAAACCAACTTCGTTTCATCTTGATACCGCCTGGGAAATTCGCATACGTATTGATACATAACAAAAAAGAATCGAGATATTTATCTTTGTATCTGCAAAAGGTTGTCGAAAGGGCATTATCCTGTACAGGCAACTCGGCGACCAGCCCGTATATAGCGTCTTACATAATTCAAGCGGTGTTGTCTCACTTCTTGGAGATACGAACTACAAGAATCGAAGAACTTCGGACGTGGTTGAGTCAGCAATGAGCCGACGACAGTTGCCATCGGCCAGCCGAGTGAATGAAACTATCAAGGACATACTTGCATCGGTCACATGGATACGTACGTTGTGGCCGAAGCCTTTCCTGTTGGTTCCAAAACATTGTATTTTTGTAGATGGTAGAGGAACTTGATTTGTTGAATACTAAATTCATCTTTTAATGAAATTCGGTCAAGAGATGGTTCTTGGCTATGTTTGTTGAAAATCGATACAAGTTATGGAAGGGGGAACAGAAACTAAGTGAATATGCCTAAATGGGCATTAGATGAAAAGGAAGCACTTGCAGGTTACTAAATGGGCCTTTTAATGAAAATCGGTCACTTAAAAGTTATACCCATTTTTCTGTAAGGTTTTTAATATCCAACGCAAAAAAGTATCAAAACGAGATCCACTCGAAAGTTGAAGGGGGGGGGGCTTATTTGTATAGTAAATAATAACTTGTACAGATCTGTGAAGAGTGCCAATGTTTGTCTTTTTTTGAATGAAAAAAATACAGTCCACAGAATTTTTGACAGTACATCAATCAGTTAGATTCTCACAAAAAAAGTGTTCAGAGAAAAAACAACTCGTTTAGATTGATAATGTATTTTACACTCTATGTAAAATTAGCACAACGGTAGGTTATATTTGAGAGAAACCTGGAAACAAAAAAAAATCTTGTTTTTGATACTGATAAAATGAGTAGTTTCTGCTTTAGTATTACGAGGGATGTCTTTTAAGTTTTGCGTATAGAAACATAGTAGGCCGCGCGGATCGAATGTCAGTACTGAATCTTAACCTCACTCTTTAGTAAACTTTAATTCAAAGTTTCACAACAATACGTGCAGTGTTCTCACTACAGTGAATTTTTAAGTGTCACCAAGTCATTAGAAAAATGCAACTTAACCGAGTACATTTTCGCGCCATAATTTATTACAACTTTCAGAGACAATTATCGCAACAAGAATGCCTTGCTGAGTTACTGTCTGTTTTCGGCAACGAAGCGCCACATCAGTCGACAATTTTTCGTTGGTATGGAGAATTCAAACGTGGACGGGTGAGTCTTAGTGACGATCCCAGGGTGGGTGCACCAAAAACGGCAGTCATCCAGGAAAACATCAATGCTGTGCGCAAACTCATCATTGAAGATAGACATGTGACATATCGCGAGATTGAGGCGTCCTTGAAGATCTCAAAGTCCTCAATTCAAAAAAATTTACATGAAGAATTAGGAGTAAGAAAATTAGTTTCTCGTTGGATACCCCACCTGTTGACTGAAGAGCAGAAAGCAGCCAGGGTTAATTGGTGTCAAAAAACGCTTGACCGTTTCAATTCCGGGAACTCAGAAAATGTGTACAGCATTGTTAATAGTGATAAATCGTGGATTTACTGTTATGAACCAGAAAATAAACGACAGACGGCTGTTTGGGTGTTCCAAGGTGAAGAAAACCCAACAAAAGTCATCCGTTCTCGAAATGTTTCGAAAAAGATGGTGGCGACATTTGTGTCAAGAGCGGGTCATATTGCAACAATTCCTCTTAATGAGCAAATAACTGTTACTGCGAATTGGTATACCACCATTTGTTTGCCAAAAGTCATCACCGAGCTTCGAAAAATCAACCCCGAAAGAAGAATCATCTTCCACCAAGACAATGCAAGCTCGCACACAGCCCAAAAAACAAGGCAGTATTTAACGGAAGATAACGTGGAATTATTGGACCATCCTCCATATAGTCCCGATATAAGTTCTAACGATTTCTTTACTTTTCCGAAAATTAAAAACTGCGTGGTCAAAGGTCCCAGTTACTAGAAGAAGCAGTTGAGGCATTCAAAAATGCCGTTTTGGATCTGCCAGCAAACGAGTGGAATAAGTGCTTCGAAAATTGGTTCGAGCGCATGCAGATGTGTATTAATATTCGTGGAGAATACTTCGAAAAACAATAAAGTCATTTAAAACGACCTACCGAGTTGTTTTATTTCCATATGCAAAACTTAAAAGACATCCCTCGTATTATATGCTTTAGAAATAGCCTGGCGATCTAAACGAATGTGTGGATATTATGGGATGATAAATTAATAAAAACCTAGTTCTAGTGACGTCAGCTATGAATTTTTGTCTCATTAGCAAGATTTTATTATTCAAGAGATTGATCACATATTCTATATAATGACTTGAAATCAGAACGATCACATAAAAATCAATCACACGTGTCAAGCTAGTTAATAACTTCCAAAGATTTTTTCGTATTTTTATTTTTTGTACTCTGCCTAAGCAATGCATTGACATATTCTGGCTACCGACCGTTGAAACGAAAAGAAAAAACTGCCAAGCAAACAAATCTTATTTCTGCCATCGTTGGCCTTGGCTCACACAACCACGTCCCATGATTTTTCTTTTTTCTTTATCGAGAACGCCCTCCCAATACAATGCCTGTCTGGGTCGGTCGTGGAGAAGAATCTAAAATTTTACGATCAGCCTGTTCTCAGGCGATTCGGAAGACTGGTCGGTTGCTGACCAGTCTGCACATTTGCATATAATAAGGAAAACGGAACACGAGTCCGAGAAAAAAGGAAAGAAGAGGTTGTGTGATCATCCATGCGCTGGTATTCTTGCGTGGTCATTCAGTGGAAGAACATGGTAGTCATTATGAAACTGAGCTGCGGTATATTAAAGTTTCATAAAAAAATAAATGATAATTGACAAAGCTCAAAACTCGTGTCTTTCTTTGCCGGCCCGAACTGTTCAGGTGCAATAGGGATAGTTACCATAGAGCCCAGAATTTCATTTTGATCCTATACCCCTATGTGTCTATCTTTCTTGGCTAATTTACAGCTACAATTTACCTCAATGTGGCTTGAATTTTAAGATTTAATTTTCGAAAACGTGTTTGATTCGGAGATAAGGGCGAAAACAGTTTCACAATGTATAAATAGTTTGGAGAATGTATTTTCAGCTAAAATGCATGATTGATCTACTCCTCTTAGAATGCTAAACTGTTTCAAATTCAACAGGTTATGACTTAGAGCAATTATCCGCTTTCTCAGATTGTACACCTTTTACACGGAAGTAGTGCAAACTTTAAACGGGTTCTTAGGATACAATTCAAAGGTTTTAAGTTTGTAAATCAAACAACCCATAAGCAAGATCCTCTCAGACCTCCCTATACATAAGGGCTCAGTTAAATGAAAATCGAATTTATTAAGATCAAAGTGTTAAGGGATAATGCACATTGCGGAAACAGATTTTCAGCACTGCTTCTCGTTCTTGCACGCATGAAGTAAGGGCCGTTATTGAAATTATTGCTGCCCTTGCCTACTGGTGGAGAAGTATTGTAATCGAAAATGAGATACTATGTTCTTTGGATGTACGTCACGAAAAAAACGTCACTCATTTTCGTCTGTCTGTCCGCTAATCCTATAACAGCCTATAGCTTGAGAAGTACCGCTCGGATATTGATGACATTTTTACACAGTGTTGCTACTATGCCAAGGATGAAAAAGTTTTGTAGTTTGTAGTAGCGTCACAGTCGGCAATCACTTCCGCACTGGGTTGTGTGCACTGTGCCTTGGGAGGGTTTTTTTGGGCTAAGGGCAAACTTGTGCCAAACATAATCCTTTACAAAACGATGACAGCTTTGCGTGGGAAGTACAGATTCAACTTACTTGACGTCATTTTTCTCCTGTTAATACTTACTTTTTCACAAATTGTCCACATCGTCCACTAATGGTACTTCCAGGCATTAATATATTTTATAACGAAGAACAATAAGAGTCAAACTGAAATCGCATGCCGATTGTCAGTGTCAAGTATAATTGCAGAACACCCTCACACTCAAAAATAGATGACTTGTGTATGTATAGGAGAGATGGAGATATGAAAGTGATACTAGTAGTACTACTGTAATCCGCCTAAATCCGCATTATTTCACCTGGTAAGGACTACGAGTGAAATAGTCTTCCCAGTCAAAGCATCTTTATAACATCCCACCTGTTCAAACCCGCCTCTGGAGGATCCTCTTACCGTCGACCGCGCTTATTTCTAAATTTAGAATTCTCAGCATGCACAAATTATCCTTTGAGGTTGTCTAGGGTACAGAACGGTATTTTGTAATTAATCTGGTTTGATGGACGTTAGACGTATCCACACGGACGTTGAAAAAGAAGTATGACGATGGCAGATGTGCCAACATCAGTGCAGTAGTTAACTAACAATTTAATGCTTCACTCTCCACCCTTGTATAACAACTTCACTGTCAATATCGATTTTTCTTGCATCTGATCGTCAAAATTACCAGCATTTTGTGGTTGTTAGTAGATAAAAATTATAATTGGATCTCACTGAATCAGAAACCTCTGGCTGAGTTCTATTGAATTTTGGATTTACGAGGAAACATACCTAAACTGTATTCTCCCAGGGAATTGAAATATGTTAAATGTGTAGGTTTAAGGCTATATTGTTGAAGAAACTCCATTCTAATCGTTTGGTGTTGTCCTCTGTGATGCAGATTTAAGGTTCTTATTTTGGCGACTGGGTCAGATAACAGCGCAAGGATATTGCAACTTACATGATGTTTGAATGCAGAGAGGGAATCGAAAATAGCGAAAAAACTGGAGCCGTAGAAAAAGCGTGAAACCCTATATAGATAAGTGATATAAATACATGAGGTGTTCAAGAGTCGTGAGCCGTTTTCATGTGATTACAGCAATCATCGTCGTAATACAGTTGGCCCATTGTTCAACAGTTCTTGTGCTCTTCTGTACCAGTTACTATACAGGGTGGCCAAACACGTGACGTCATAAAAAAAAAATTAGATTCCCCACATCGAGAGGAACCCAAATCACCCCCATATATATGGTCCGATTTTGTTTAGTTTAGGAGTTATGATTTTTTTTCGGATTTTTCGAGAATTTTTGAGTTCTGTGTTTATTTTTACCATAACTTCGTTAATAATTGTGATAAATGCCTGCTTTTTTCACGATTATGTAGCTAAGACCTAAGGCTTAACTATCATATAATCATTCAAGTCATGTAACTAATACTACATTTTAATTTTTTTCAAAATCTTCGAACATAACAAAAAAGTAAAAAAGTGCAACAACTTTGAACGTTTATAAAAAATTGAAAAAACATGTTCTTACTATTCGTAAGTATCTTAAAAACTTCCTTACGGTATCAGCTATTTACCGTAAAAATTTCATCAACCTAGCTTTACTACATGCTACCGTAATTGTGGCTCAAATAGAACCGAACCCAAAATTGGATAACCCTCTGCTCAATAGAAATTGTTAGTTTCGGAAAAAAAATTTGCAAAAACCACAAAAACACGTTTGATTTTTACTGAACAGCAGATTATTATTCATTAATGTTATTTACAAGAGGTTTTCAAAATGTCTGCCTCTAACAGAAATGCACAGTGTACACCTACGTATGAAATTTTGTTTTAAATCTCTAAATGCTTGTGTGTTGTTTTTCAACACATGTGTCGCTTCTTGAATTTTGTTCCTCAATGAATTTTCATTTGCACATTCTTGGGCGAACGTTATGTCTTTAAAATATCCCCAAACAAAAAAATCAATGGGGTTGAGGTCAGGGGAGCGTGGAGGCCATCGTATCGGTCCGTTTCGTCCGATCCATCTGTCTGGGAACCTTTCGTTTAAGTAGTTTCGCACGATCGTTGCGTTGTGGCATGATGCACCATCATTCTGGAACACCATGTTCCGTCTGGCTTCCAGGCTTGAATCTTCCAGCAATAATGGTAGGTTATTTTCAAGGAAGCTTTTGTAGGCTACCGAATCCAACCTTGACGGCAGTTCAAATGGACCGATAAATTCCATATTGAATATTCCTGACCACATGTTCACACTAAAACGGTGTTGAAATGTCGATGCATTATTATTATGGCGTTGCTCAAGGCAACGGCGCTTTAGAAGCTCAGCTGGACCGGGAACAACTTATACGCCGAGGCGGACCACAACCTGAGCATTACCCAGACCACCGTGTTTTTATTAACACACATAACACTTTCATGGCAGGCCGCATTCCAGGACGAGGAAGCAATGAAGGATATCCTACAGCTGATCCGGATCGCAGAGAAGTAGTACTTGAAGAAATTAGCCGGAATCCCTCAACGAGTACGAGATCTATGGCACAAAACCTTAGAATACCACGAACATCGATACAAAATATTCTTCATGAAGAAGGTTATCATGCCTATCATGTTCAAAGAGTTCAAGCGTTGATGCCTTCAGATTACCAGTTAAGAGTGGATTTCTGCGAGACAATGCTGCGAAGACAACGAGAGGATCCCGATTTTTTTGATAAAATTTTATGGACTGACGAGTCACGTTTTGAAAGAACAGGGATATTCAATATCCATAATTTACATACTTGGGCTGTTGAAAACCCCCACCAGTCAAGGCCGTCGACATTTCAACACCGTTTTAGTGTGAACATGTGGTCAGGAATATTCAATATGTAATTTATCGGTCCATTTCAACTGCCGTCAAGGTTGGATTCGGTAGCCTACAAAAGCTTCCTTGAAAATAGCCTACCATTATTGCTGGAAGATTCAAGCCTGGAAGCCAGACGGAACATGGTGTTCCAGAATGATGGTGCACCATGCCACAACGCAACGATCGTGCGAAACTACTTAAACGAAAGGTTCCCAGACAGATGGATCGGACGAAACGGACCGATACGATGGCCTCCACGCTCCCCTGACCTCAACCCCATTGATTTTTTTGTTTGGGGATATTTTAAAGACATAACATTCGCCCAAGAATGTGCAAATGAAAATTCATTGAGGAACAAAATTCAAGAAGCGACACATGTGTTGAAAAACAACACACAAGCATTTAGAGATTTAAAACAAAATTTCATACGTAGGTGTACACTGTGCATTTCTGTTAGAGGCAGACATTTTGAAAACCTCTTGTAAATAACA